TGTATATAGAGAAATAGCACTGTTTGGTATATTTTGTTCATTTTCAGCAGAAAATTATTCTTACTTGGTGATAATCATTCTTGGTGGAAGATGGTATCAAATTTTTAAAATTAGGATCCTTCCCTAATCCCAGAGGCCGGGGCATGGCCCCAAAGCAAAAATCAACCAATATTTCAAAAATCTTTTCAATTTCTCTGCATGTATGAAACGATCATCACGGGTTTTTATAAATTGTAAATTTCAGTACCCCCGGGCCTGCCTCCGTTTTCCTTTAGTGAGGGGGTACACTTTACCATTGTTTAAATAGGGAAATAATACTTTTCTGTATATTTGGTAATTTTCAATGGGAAATTAATCTTACTTGGTGAGCATTGTCCTTTGAGGCAGATGGTATCAAATTGTTAAATTTGGATTCCTACCCAACCCCACGGGCCAGGGTGGGGTCCAAAGGGAAAGTGAACCAATATTTCACAAGTCTTTTCTTCAGACTCAGATGTAGTACAATCAAATTATGTGCATGGATGATAATTCCGTTAGGAGCTTTATGAATTCTTCAATATAATATCCCCGGGCCATCCATTCTCGCTCGGGGAGTGAGTAAAGTTGACTTTAATTTAAATAGGGAAATAACACTTTTAGGTATATTGTGTCCATTTTCAGCAGGGAATTATTCAAACCTGGTTCGAATGATTATGATTCTAGATGGCAATTAGATGGTATGAGAAAATAAGATCCTGCACCATCCCCAGGGGCTTGAGGAGTGGAACCAAAATGGGGATAGTGGTTAAATGTTAAAAGAATCTTCTTCGTCAGACTAATATGTTTTATTGTTCATTGATAGAAAGGTCCTTACCTAAATTATCATTACCTACATTATAAATTGCATTATCCCCAAGGTCATCTGCTCTCCCTTGGGGACAGGGTATACTTCTCAATAGCATTTTCTTTTAAAATAATTTTGAAAGTTCTTATTCTTTGGTGACATGACAAGTATTGTATTTCACTTGGTTTACATGTTGTTTTCCACATTTTGTACATCTCAACACTGACATTGAACTACCAGTTCCTATAATATAACGCAGATGAACGCTAAGCTATTGTTGTGGAACGTCTTATTTACAGTTAAGGTAATTTAAGGACGTGCCTCCATGTATGTAGTGGATGCGTGCATGCGTGTATGTGTGCCAGAGACAGGATATGCTGATGTGGTTGCCTTTTTGTGATAGCGCGGATCTGATGCCATCTTTATGGTGATATCTCATTAAAATACTATGCCGAAGGCACCCAACACAGCATTCCGCCAGATTTGCATTATAATGACAACGGTTGAACCAGTTGTTGGTATTGCCTGAAATGCTGAAAGTTAAGAAGTGAATAACAACTAACATGTTTAAGGACTTTGGTATGTCCCGGCCAAAGTACAAAACCCATGGCCTTCCTGACCTTGCCGAACGTTCAAAATTAAAGCCAAAAATGAGGTATTGTCAAGCAAGGCGCTAAGGAATACAAGGTAGTTAGAAGTAGAGAATCCGAGGTTGTGAATACGACCTTTATTGTGTTTATATTTTCACAAATTGTGTTAGGCTCAGGATGTTCCTAAACAAATTTGATTATCTTAACCTTTCAGTGTTTCAGACTAAGGTATTTGGTGTTTATGATATAATGTATTCTTGGGATCTTCAGAACAAGTAAAGTATTATTATTTCATAAACGTTTTTATGCATACCACAGGAAGCTACTAGCTAAATATCATGACCTTAAGCCTATAAGGTCTTCGGTTGTAGTCGTTTGAATGCAATATTATTGCTTCATTGCGAGCAGAACGCCTCTTTGCGATGTTTAAGTGTAAACGCATGCAATACTCAAATTGTCACAACATGTACTTTGACGCGTTACCCATTAAAATAAAGGACAGACATGATAATTATCATGTACAGGGCAATTGAGCTTATACTGTGAAGCAACAAGACAGTATATATCTCTGATATACATATAAAGTTAAAATACAGCACAACGTTCCTGTCGATGATTGTATTGTAAGTAGTAAAATGAACAAGAAGACCTTGAGTTAATGGTGATAATTAAATACAGTTTGTTGCTGTAAGTAAATATCAGACGTCATGCCGTATACATACACCCCTTATGTTACTGTGTTTACACACATCCTGTAATATCCTTTTGTATACGGGTATATAATAATGAACATACAGGGGGAATGCCCACATTATATTTAATATTGTTTTTGACGTTCCTGATCAGTGATGGTAGCATGTCAAAAGGGTCAATAGTGAAATAATAGAAACATGAGTATATAACTTTAGACAAGGTAACACAGATAAATACAAATGGAAATGTGAAACCTGATGCAACCGTAGATAATGTTGTTTTTCTTTAAACTTTTGGTACATATAAGGATGATCAACATTTATAAAACATGTACCATACAATTGAATTATAAATATTGTATGTAGCCTAAAACAGTAACATGCTTTGCTGTTGTAGGGGAGGGGTAGGATAGCATGCATACTAATACTCCGATTTATTGATATTTTATGTAATGTGCAAGATGACGTAAGATAACCGTACATATACATGTAATACAAGTCCATGTGTTACGTTTAGATCGTCAATTGACTATGCATGGTTAATTAGCAGACCTAGTATTTCTACTGTTATGTTACCATACAAATGAACAATTTGTGAAATACATCAGAAGTTATTTACAGTCCAACCTTAACATGAATCGGTTTCCCAAACTATCTTAATTCCGTTTTCTTTAAGAGATTATATGCGACTTGCCTTGCTATAATGTTTGGCAATCAGAATGGTAGGATGGAGGGTTATCAAGTTTATTTAAATTGACAAGTTCCATCCATGTTACAGAGCTAAAATGAGTGAAATCATTAATCATTAAAATAACTTCTTTTTAATTACCAAGGGTCCTAGGATGAAAATATTCGGCCAGGAGCATGCTTGAAAAAAATACCTTTTGTATGGTTGAATGTCCTCCAACTACATACACGGTATCAGGATCAAATGTGTTAAAATGTCGCCTTCTCAATAGCAAAGAGGTCAACAATGATGACATTTTTCCAGTACCACGCTAGAATGAACGGCATTCAAGACTGCTCAAATAGGGTTAAAATGGGTTAAAGCTGTTTTACGGCTTCCTCTAAATAACTTAAGATTCATAAGGTGCTGGTATTGAACCCGTCGTACGTTAGGATGAACGTGTTTGGAATAAAAGAGGCAAGAAACAAATGCATGCAAGAAGACAAAGAAATTAGAGAAACGTTAGTAGTCTGTAATTAAAGTCAACCGAACTGTTTGAGGAATCGAAATATCGGAGAACCTACTGAATGTTCCGAACGAGAAACAGAAACTAATCGTTGTTACATTCGGGAAATAAAGGCAGTAAGTGTATTCAGAAATATAAAACACTTGAACACATAAGAACAGTTCAAAAGAGTTCGAATATGCACCGACCTCGCACAAAATGAACGGGAGGAATAATTAAAAGGGACTATTTCATGCTATGTTAAAATTACATAGGAGTTTGTCACTCACAACCTTCGTTTCAGAAGTGTTACGAGATAACTTCTGCTGTATTCACTATTTTCAATCCCTTATTCATCTTGAGTTGTTACTTTGAATCACACTACTAATTATTTAGATAATTAATTAACCTCATTACAGCATAGGGGTGGCAAAATTGAATATCAGTCTGAATGTATTTTTCTGAAGAGAAAAAAAAACCATATTTTTGTATCATTATACTTGGGAGAGAATATTTTCTTTCATGTGATGCTAAAATAATATATTTATAATCAAGAATGTAAGGATAATGGAATATTTTGTGCACATTTTAATGTAAAATACAGGATTTGTCAATCTTGTTTTTGTTGTATACCATTGAAATATAGTTCCGTGTACTACACTTTTACCTGGTTTTTCCAATTGTGTTCCTGGTAAAGAAGAAGGTATTTTGAAAATCTACTGTGTTTATTTGTACATTCAAGATTATAAACATTAAAATTCGATCATTAATATCATTTTTCAGCAATCGAACACTCGTAACTTAAAAATGTCAATTTTCCAAACAAATAATGGTATAATTACACAAACGATTAAGTATCCCCGTTCCGCGAGGGGCGGTACTGCACATAGGAGAAGTCACAGTGCAGTGGGACATGCATCCTTAGGTAAGAGGTCCATATTATGTTATCAAAATTTTATTTCTTTTTATAACCTGATAATAAAGTATGCGTCATGACCTTCACAAGGTCAGATGCTCACTTGTAATGTTTCGGCTCTTTTTTAACCACATTTTGAAGTTACATGTTTTTTGAATAAAAAAGCAAAACATTTACAACTGCCAATTATGTTAAATTTACACATTGCAGTATTTGAATGCTATCCCCAAACACCAATAAAAACAATAGGAATGACAATACTGTAATTCACAAATAATTCCATTACGATATATATTATTTTTAGGTATTCATTTATGTACACACAAATACAGATCTTCACAGAGAGAGAAAATACATGGACTGCTCTGATATAACTAGATTAATTAAAGCACGAGATTTTAAACATAATCTCAGCAAATCTACAGCATATCTATGTACATTTTATATTAACACAACTGAACCTTTTTATACTTAATGCATCCACAGCTTCTTTGACTTAATATGTAGAACCACTGGATAATATTTCAGCCAAGATATTCCAATCTAGGTCATTTAATAGAAGATAAAATCTTTCTAGGTATTTGTGCACGTGATCAAATCACGCATACACGTATCCTATCATGAGTCAGTATTAAGATTTGTGATCAAGTGAGAAGTGTTATATATTCTTTTTTTTCAACATTAACTAAAAAAGTAAGCTTCAAATCTTGACAGTTACCTACAGTGACTCAAAATTAGTCATAACAAACCAAGATTAATTTTTTTTAAGAATTCCAAGGCCATATATTTAACTAGTAGCGTGTTTTGATGAAGGAATTCGAAATTCGTTTAAATGATTGACTTTCAACCATTTTCACGATCACATGTGCTGAATTTTTTAACGATTTCAACGAACGTACTCTGAATGCCTAGGCCTACAGTGATGATATTTAGCTATAAGCATGCTCGGATGAAGGATTACCAAGTTAATTCAAATTAATTTAGCCTAGATATATTATTTTGTCGAACCTCTTCTCCTGAATAACCATATGTCCTACGTTAATGGAATCTGGTCAGTACAGTACTATGGTGGCATAAATGGGTGCGAAGTATATAAAACTGAACGGCATTAAATGACATTCAAGTTCACATGATACAAAATCAGTTAATCATTAAAAACATAATCAAACACCATGCTGGTATATCAATAAGGCAAAGAATATTGGCGCATAACGGGTTGGGTGGGTCTTTTAAGCATTACATAAATATAACGTAGCTACTAGCCAGTTGAAGTATATCCATGCATTATTTATTTGGTTTATAGATACTTGAAGGGTAGCACAGGGATATCTAAGACCAAGGTTATTGCATTACATAATTGTCAAAACTGGTACAACAATACTATTCAAATAGAATTTTAATCAATAAGCAACTTATTAAATCTATACAATAATTCAGCAAACACCACATCTTCTTTGATACTAGAGTTATATAGATGTATACATACACATTTAACAAATAATTCAAATGTTAATTTCTGTGGAGTTTCTTCGTATATTGCAAACCATACATTTACATTTGTATTAACACAAGTTCATTTTTATATGCAAAATACCGTATATACACCTTTTTATTTTGTTTGACGAATGTTCCTAGGGGAATATGACATCATATGCATTTTCAATTTGGCCCGTGTTATTGAAACGGAATGAAGTGAATGCACACATATCTCTTACTAGACTTTTAGTTTACATATTTCTACACAAACAGGATTTCAAAAACAATCTTGCAATTTAATAAAAACACCTCATAAAACAAATACTAGCCTCATGCGCCAGTATCCATTTGACCGCGTCTTCCTCACGTTTCAATAAAAAAAAACGCACTATAAAGGGTAAATATATACAGAGAAATGCATAACATAGTGTCTGTGTGATCTGTACAATGGAAATATATAAACTATAAACATACTTGCTAATGTGTTCGCCTACTTGACTGGCTGTCATCAGGTGACTGATGAATCCATGCATGGGCGAATATCCTAGCAGTGTTGTCATGTGGTTAGGACAATTCACTTGTTATTGTAGATATACATATCAAGACATGATATGTTTACATCTCCCTCGACGACCTACCTCTCAGTTTATAATGCTGAGAACACAAACTACTTTTTGTACCATTAACAGTTTGGAACGGAACACAATATATACCTACCAAGTAACACACGCTGTATTTAAACGTGTTGATATCTCCCTGTGTTTTTCGGAAATAGCTCGTGAATTGCCCAGTACGTTAGAAAACGCAATATTTCTGCCATTCTGTAACGGTTGTATACCCATAAGCTTATACTAGTTGCATGCTCATTATTTTTTACCGTGGCTGTCACAATCGCAAAGGTTAGGGCTGCTGACATGGTCATTGTCAACAACCACAATGCTCTGGGACTAATATGTATATTGATTATTATTCATCACGGTTCCAATCTACATTTGATAGGCTAAGTCCAATAGAAATCTTTTGAAAAGCTGACGTATTAATTGAAGCTTCCTCGGGTTGTTCATTATTATTATTTCTTGTGAACCAGATGGATTAACTTCCGGAGCCAGAACCCCCCTCAGCAATTGCGGTGTTGATGTATATTTCTTTGTCACCTAAAAATAAGGATGCAAAATTATTATTGTTAATGTTAGCTTCTTGTAATTTGATCTGAACGCGATTAGCGTGTAACACCTGTTCCTTAAGATCTTATATGTGTATGTCATCATGCTTCGTTTCGCCCTATTGTTTGCACCCAAAATGTATACATTTTACATAGGTGAATGCATTAAAATTCTAAATAAGGAAACCATCAAATACAAAAACACATTAGAAATAACGGACAAAAACAAACATTCTAAAGTACACAATGACCTGCTTCATGTATAAAAACATATACCATAAGGTAATCTTCTGAAATAAGAATATTTTAGAACCATTGAAGGTCTTTTGATGTTAATTTATATAATTCCAAAGCTATGTTTAAAGTTGTGCAATAATTGGATTTTAGTTCATGTATCGCTTATCAGAAAGACGATATCGATACTTACCAGATGTTGTACCATGGAGATCTTCATAGACGTTTGGGTTAGACCGACCCTTCAATGACTCGTATTCTCTGCTAAAACAGAATTGCAATATCTTATAAACCATGCACCATCCAAAAACTGCCAGCACAAAAACGTTGGAAGTCACTAAATGATGTGACAACAATGTTTAGAAAGGGTTTACAAGTCATGGTAATTAATAATGTGTGATGATACAAACTCACTTGTCATTGACTGGATCTTTCCGGCGACCTACAAAACAAGCAACCTTACACAGTTACATTATCCCCCGGAAACATTAATTTGTGTATAAATAGCAGTTTGTTATACTTTTTATTCCATGCATTCAAAACCGAACACACTCTGTTTATATACAGATGAAACAATACTTTATTTCAATCCAACATTAAAACCACCTGGGACCTCTATCAGGACCAACAAGATATTTAGTATAAATTGATTAAACCTGTTTCATAATTGTAAAGTAAATAACGCCAATGTATACTGGCCCCCATAATTTTTGTTTACATTATTGAAAAAGTGGCATCTTTATTACATCTGAATTTGATTATAACAAATAGCGTTTCAGTAATATTACGAATGTGCTGGCGTCGTACGTGTCAACACGGACTTTCCTTGTCAACACGGAATTGGTTCGTCAACATAATGTCAATGTCTGTTAGTGGCCATCGCCTTTTCCAGATTTTAATCCCACTGAGCAGGGATCAGTCGGACTGACGAGTGAGAAATGGACGTCAACAGCCTAAATAGTTGACAGTCCTACAGGAGCAGTGGCAGAAGAAGATCCCGATGAGGTATTTGAACCGACTTCAGTTTGTTGTCAACGTCAAGGGGTTCGTTCACGCAATATTTAGTATTGAGCTTGATTTTCTGATTGCTAAATAAACGCTAGTTTTGTCGTTTCATGGACACATTTGAATGAAACTGAAGTTTATTTATCCGACACAACATATATTGATGTTTACAGTGTGAATTTATAGAATTTCAAGTTCATTAAAGAAAAAAGAAAAAAAACGTTTCTGTTGGGGGCCAGTTTATAGAAATGTATCATTATGATACGACGATTGCGTGTGTTTTACCTGGAAGATGACTTCCTATTTCAGAGTACACAGATGCTTTGGTAATTTCATTCGTATCGAGTTGTTCATATGGAGATCTGTGAAGATATAAGATAAAACCAATAAAACGATGTAATTATTTGTTTTCAAGCATTAGCATACAACAATTAAAGGTCATATTACTATTTAACAGTTAAAAGACATATTACTATTTAACAGTTAAAGGTCATATTACTATTTAACAGTTAACAGACATACTACTATTTAACAGTTAAAGGACATATTACTATTTAACAGTTAAAAAGCATAACACTACACCCCTGCAGGTCGGTGATCAAGAAAACAGTAGACCTGCTGTTACCTGTTGCATGCATTGTAAGAGGCGATTAATGTAGAAACCTACTGCAGAATTTGGATTTGCTTTTGTGCCCTTTACTTAGGGACACAAAAGCGATCAAAATATATCTGTTGCACTAATTGAAATAGTTCGGATCTTTTTTCTACTTCTAACTAAATTTAATATCCTAGTGCCTTGCCTGACACTACCTCCCTTTTGGCTTTGCTGTTGAACGTTTCCCGGTTGAGGAGGGCAATGGTTCTGTCCTCAGGCCAGTACATACTGTGACGAAAACGTACCGAGCTAGCTGTTTGTGTTAGTAAATGTCCGTTCTCCATGCTATTTACGCGCTAGAGTAGAAATGGTCTTGACCTAGACCCGGACAAAACACATAATTGATGCGGAAAAGCTCCGGGTAATTGACAGGTAGGGCGTGGCCTGTGGTATATATGTGCATTGCATTTCGGCCACGGCCCCGTCGGTCATCGTGCACAGCCTTTCGGCCACGGCCCCGTCGGCCAGCATGCACAGCCTTTCAGGTCACGGCCTCTCAGCCTTTCACGAAACGGCCTGTCAGCAAGCGTGCATTGCAACGGTCATTCGCCATTCTGTGTCGGAAGCTACACGAGAGCAAACCATTAGTTGTTAGTTTTAAGTATACCAGAGAGCGTGTTTTCATTGATGGGGTATGTCTGAATAAGACTGTTACCCATTACGATCGCTCAATCGAATGTAGCATACCTGACAAGAGCGAGCTGTCGTGTTGCGTTGGGTCCGCTACATTGATATATCCCAGGCATTGTGATAGCTCGTTAGATCGATATAGGGAGTTGTATGGACCACCGAGTGGTCAGGGTAAATCAAGGTTAGCAAGAGGGGTTCTATAGATTATACAATATAGATGCATGTGGTGCTACCGAGCTTACATTGTAGCGAGACATCTGCCGTACAGAGCTGTCCGAGCTATCGCCAGAATACATATAGATGGTTGAGCAGTGAGAGGTCAGCTAGCGATCGTCCGCGGGTTGGTTTATATGCACGTTCTGCGCGATCAGTAGTAGGAGCGCTCAATTTGTATTAGGTGCTTTATTGTTATACACGTAGTGTTTTTGCAATTACTGTTACATTGACACTGATTTGTATATATCCCCTGTATATATTTTATAGTACAAGACGTACATGACCAGAAGCAGTGATTGCTCGGACATATGCAATGTTTCAGAGCTAGAGTAACTTGTCTGTATATATTTGCATCTATGCTAGAATATGGATACACCCCAGTTGGATAGATATACTCGCCGGAGCCTCCAGTGTGACTGGTACGTACCAAAGGTGAAACGTCACAATACCAAAGTCCTTAAAAATGGTAACTGCTATTACCTGATTAACGTTCAGCATTTGTGGGAATGGTATCAACTAGTTCACCCGTTGTCAGTACAATGTGACCAGGCGGAATGCTGTTTTGGGTGCATTCGGTATTGTTTTTCATTGAGCTGTTAATTTGACTTTGAATTAAATACAACCAAAACCATAACGCTAAAATGTTGTTTTGAGTGTTGATTGTTCAAACAAGATTACCGTTCGTCTCCCTCTTCATTGGGTGGTACAGCTGAAACAAAATAATATAAATTAATCAGAATTCCTTTCTCACTTTTGTAAAAATAAACGAATTTCATAAAGACTTGGGTACTGTTTGAATTGTTTTGTATTGCAATGTATAAAACCTAACCGACATGGCGAAATTAACAAAACATTAAGAATTGTATATAGAAAAGAACCTGTTGATGTTGGACATGATCACTAAAACAACGTGTACAAGAGTATCAAGCGTTTTTCACTGTATTACCTCGTTCTGAAAGTTGCACGTTCTGAAATTCCCTTCGTTTCAGATGTTGACCTTTGCTAGAAAACAATATACAAAATTATTATATATTTTCAATTCACAGCTTTTACTTCAAAATATACCTTCACATTTTGGAACATTTTTTTCTTAACATAGAAAGATGATTTTTATTAGGCACGTTATTCAAACCAAACTTTATACAACATTGTATTATCATTAATATAAACAAGATATTAACAACAAGACGAAATGAATACTTTTACACCGAAAGAGGATATATGTCGATTTTTTGTCAGGATTAATTTACTTACATGAAAGGCAGTCTACCATTTCCTGTAAAATAACATTGGTAGATGTTAAAGGTAGTGTATACTTGTTTATCGATAAGAGATAACGAACGTAAATTGAAGTTATGCAATTGTCTTATAATCGGTGATATAGACAAACATACTGTACAAGTGAAAAATATTGATCAGTATAAAATGTAAATAAACTTCGCATATGATTTTTGCATTTTTTTCCTTTTTCTTGTTTTTTTCAAATCAAGATTTGAGTAATATATACATACGACTTAGGAATATTCCAAGTCCAACTGTTAACAGGAACGTGAGAACACTGGTACAAATCAGGGCAACTCCTGTTACATACATGCTGTCGGTACCGCGGGAACAATCTTTATTAAACAAATAGTATTATCTGTACTTTTGTATAAACCAATCAATATATAAGAATGAATTATCTCACTCATTAAGTGGACTGTTGTCATCAAACAGTAAACTAAAAAGTGACAAATATGCAAGTCGTTCGAACTCAACAGTAATAATATAAGGGCAAAATATGAAAGGTAGAAATATTTGTATGATAAAGAGACAATAGAAAATAAAGAAGAATAAGACAATGTGTTCTGCAAAGGTTAGCGTCTTCTGCTTCATCGACGATACCTGCCTAGTAAATCTAGGTCAAAGCCAAATAATTTAAAAGTAAGACCTAGAACATTGACAAAGAAACAACAAGGCGTGATAAGCATACTCAAAAGCACCGACCTGTATACCATATAAGTACATGACATATTTATTCAATAAGATTGCGAATCAAACCATAGAAGGTGCCTTTATTCTATACTGTATCTCTCAACAAAACCTTATTTTGTCAGTTTGTCAATAGGAAATCGACATCTATCAATATAAACTCATGTTGTTTAAAAACAACCCATGAGATATTGAAAATTTGGTGGACACATCAAGATTTATTTTGCCAGTCGTGGTAAGCTTTTCAATAAATGCATACTCATGACTATTAACGTATTGGGAGAGAAAGGGTCGATCAGGAGGAGAGCAATCTTGTTGTAACTGGAATGCCAAAGTCTAATGTAAAATGTTGGCATCGGGCTCAAATACTTGATATAATATGATAGTTATAGCTAGAACATAAACTCTTCACATCGCTAATATAGTAACCTGTAACACGTTAACAAAAGGTGATTGTAAGTAACTAACCTGCCTGAATTGTACATCCAACAGCATCAAATGATGTTGTATTTCCGTAGGTGTTGTACGCTGCAATCTTAAATGTATATAGTCGTCCTCCCACTAAATTGTCCACATTCAAACTATACATGTTCCTCCCTTCTTCAAATGCAATTGTCACGGGATAAACTTCTTTTGAATGTTCAAAGGCATCCATGCTGAATAAAACACGGTAAAACTGGGAGTTTCCACCGTTCTTCCACGATACTTTGGCAGACATTCGCTTTCCACAGTCAACTGAAAAAATCTTAGTGGGATTCGGATTTTCTATGGATTTAATATAAATGAGTATGTTAAAAACATGGTCAAATATTACAATATATTAATCCCAACTATCAAAAACATGTTACAATGACTGTAAAACTGTCAATAATGGGGTCCCCCATGTTACCATGTACCATAACAGGAAGATAATATGTGCTAGGTGTCTGTGGCTTTTGTTTTGCTTATAGTCATCAGTATTTGATACAAAAGGTACATCAGTGATATGACAGTTATCTTAACAAAACTGGATATTTAATTTTTTAAACTACATAACTCGACCCATTTTCCAAGTTTTCACCATAAGAGAAAGATAAACATCAGGATTGGATTATGTAAATACCTATTCACTCAAAAAACAAAAAAGTCTAATCGTCAGGATTGCTTTAACAATGTCAGTTTGCATGTGTTGATTGAATTGATACCGCATGTTCAAAGCATACATGATGTATCTCAAAAATATATGTTATCCGCTAAAGTATATGAGATATCTTCAATAGCACATGCTACACCTGCACAAGATATTGTCTTATTTACACTATCAGCATACAACGAAAACGCCAAGAGAAAAACAAGGCAAAGCGACTTGAACAAACTCAAACTGACGGTTTTGTGCTAACATGATTGATTTACCTGTAGCAGCAACTGTGAAAGTGAGTGTCCCTTTGCCCTCACTGTTGATTGCAGTTACATTATATAATCCAAACCAGGCCTCTTGCATGTTCGTACGTGTCCCCATTGACAAAACTGACAGGTTCGATATAAAAGGTGTATTATGTATAACAAAGCTGTCTGTCCCGTTGTTTAGCCGAGTAAAATAATTATTTGAAGAGTTTTGGAAAGTCCATGTGAATGATGAGGGTTCCGGGTTTGACAGAAAAATGGCTTTCATAGTTAGATTATCATGAGTAGCCAACCCAATCTCTCGGTCTGTGAACACTCTCGGATCAAGGCGCGGCGAACCTAGATGGGATAGAATTTTAAAAAGACACACAATAAGACTATGTATTGCTCTAATATCCAACACATGTAGACACATACACACACTCACACATATATATACACGAATACTACCGCACATCCACATGCAAATATGATTTAATATTTAATTACTGTCATAAAGCTAGTATAATGATGTATGGTGAATGTGGGTATGGGTTGCTATATGAAACATATTTGTTTGCGAATACCTGGACATCAAACAATTCCGTAAAGCTACTTCCCACCCTAAACTTGTCATAATTATTCTATTTTTGTTTTCTATTTGAAAATTTCCAATTCCATGTCTATATAGAAAGATTTTAACTTGTTATTGATAAATTTATAAAATGGATTTAGTTCTAATATTTCTTTCATTTCTTAATAGTTTGGACGAAAAGATAACTCCTTGTATTTACTGTTTTCTTTACCGTAAGTAACGTTATGAAGCTAACGGTGTGTTTGTATTGACGTTACGAACCGTGTTAGTTACACTACACTTAATTATATTTTCGAGCTGGCGACCGGGTTCAGTCGACCTGATGGAGCGTACTGCTTACAATAGAGTGCGTAATCAAGCTTACAACGTCCTTTGTAATCAGCTGGCGGTGTGCGCTTTACTGTCCTAATTTGTTTGGGCCTCTTTCCGTTACGTTTTATTTAACGACGTTGTTAATTTTACAGCTTACCTTGGAGTACGCCATTAACATGACAACATGTTTTATCGACGTTATCATCATTCAAGTGAATTTACAATTAAAATTTCAACATATTTTACACAAAGACATTTAAGTAAAGTGTGAGTTGTTTTCATTCTGCGGTAATCGTGGTTACGTTGTTTCTACTTGCGTGATTAGTTACAAAGCGAAAAAAATAGTGCAAAATTCACGTCAGTGGTTGCCAATAGCGCCAAATGCAAACATAATAATATGTTGACGATACAAAATAGTCCTGGTGACTTATTGGCGCATATCAATGCCAGTTGTTCTGTCAATATCTTACAAAAAAATGTCCTGTGTCAGTATATAGCTGTAACATAGGTAAAAGTGACCACCTAGCTGTCACATCCTGGTGAATTCACTGCCCAATTAACTACTTAGTGTTACGTTACTAATACAATCACTAATCCTATCTGAATGGTACGCCTATGCGCACACATTGTACGGAGCAAACAATAAGTGACCAGTAGTCGTTAGAAGCCCTAACAACAAGCCAAGGGCATCGGGGGTATAATTGAGAAGTCTAAGGAATCGTTATCCAATACAACCAACCATACTTAACTAGTATATAAAAGCAAACAATAAAGTGTGATGAAACGCGATCCTTATATCTAGACCAATATGCTCATCAACTCCGTGATTATTCAGAACGTATTGGTAATAAAACAATATAAATTGAAAAGAAGTAAAACGTCAGACTGTCGAAACATTTCAGTTCTAAGTGCTGACTTAATATATACACATGGAAGTGTCATAGCGGATCTGGATCGAAATTCAGTAAAAAAAATAAATATTTAAACAGTTGACCTTTCTCTAATGATTACACTTATTCTCAATTGGAAACTTTTTATCAATATCTTTTAATTGATAAGAATTCACTTTATTCTATATATATATATATCGGGGTGGGTGGACTTTTTTTTAAGAAAAAAAACTGAAATCAAGGAAAAAGACAAAGAACAATGTAATCTAATACATGGATAATTTAGGGACACAACATTTTAATCTAAATATTGTACGGGATCATTAAATTATTTTTGCTCATAAATGTACAATTTGGCGCAAGACAATTAACTAGGCCAATATGTTCATCAACTCCGTGACTATTCAGAACGTATTGGTAATAAACCAATATAAATTGCAAGAAAGAAAAAAAGTCATACTTTTTTTCCTCCCTAAAAAACGTTATTTCGGACAAACTAGAAGTTCTAAGTGCTGACTAAATATACACATGTAAGCGTCGTAGCGGATCTGGATCGAAATTCATGATTTTTTTTTGATTTTTTTTTTCTACATTTGACTACAATTATTATTAATTGGAAACATTTGATCAACATCTTTGCATTGATAAGAATTCATTGCATTCCCGGATTGGATGGGATTCTTTTTTAAGAAAAAAATGAAATCAAGGAAAAAGTCAAAGAAACATGTAATTTAATACATGGAACATTAAGGGACTCAAACTTTTAATCTAAATATTGTAGGGGATCATAAGGTAATCGAGACACAGAAGTTTTACCTTTATGTGAGTTCTTTGTACCAAACAGATTAAAGAGTAATAGTGATGCTATAGTAAAGAAATATCTAAGCTAAATGGAAGTATTGAACTTATTTTTTTTACCACGGTGCCTTGTTTATATCTGATTATGGTAGCAGTTCTGTATGTCTCTGTCGTTTCTGGTGTAAGAGAGTCACATCAAGTAAACCCTTATAGTCCAAGATTTGTATGATTGTGCGTTGTTGTTTAAAGCTTCACGTATTTTGATTATCATTGAATGAAGACACTTGAATGATGTATTGGAGAGAAGTATATTATTCAATGTCCTTGTTATTAAAAACATATTTTTTTGAAACTTCACCTCTGTGTTAGTCATCAGTCAGGCTTTATTAACATGATGGGTAGATTACATACTCAATTATTTCTACAATCTATCTGTTTGGTTTCTACTGTTTATTCAATCCAGTTGACTGGGTCCTTGTTGGCCCTCAGTACTTAATACAAGTTTAGTTTAAGTGAAAAATGATGAATTGTTTCATTAACTAATACACATTATCTCTACTTTACAGGCTGTTGTCGATCTGTCAAACCCATCAATAGCTATAGATACAACATCGGCACCAGTGTGTTCTAGTGGGGGAAAGGCGTCTGCTACACTTCCCGCGTCAAACATTAACGAGGATGGAAACCTTTATTGCAAATGTGGGATGCAGACTGCTTGTCCGGAAAAAGGTCTGATTGTCAGCGGCAGTGAAGCAGTTACTGGTAAATACTATATAATTATTGACTTTGTGGAAGGAAGCTGCAGGTAAAAAGTATATATAATATGATATTTGGCCAATAACATGCTAGGTTGAAGGGCTGCAAGTTGTGTTGAAACAAATTACCTTGAGCTACTGTCAAGGTCATAGGGAACTTTTTTTTCAGTAATCAATAGGACCAGGGTGATCATATTTGGCTGGAAGCATATGTTGGGATGAATGCCTAATATTTTTGTTCAAGTTTAAATTACTTATTCTGAATAACCAACAGACACAAGATGATGATTTTTGGCCAGAAGCATGATAAAGTCGGGGGCTATCAAATGAATGTCTTCTTCTGATATTCTAGGTCACAGAGGGGACATGTACTAATTTCTTTTAACAATTTCTTCTAAATATCAAAAAGACCTAGTGTGATAATATTTGGTCAGTATCATGCTTGGAGGAAGGGCTACCAATTTTTAAAGCAATGATCTTGACCCACTCTCTAGGTCAAATGGGTAAAACACGTTAAAATTATTAAAGTCACAGTGGATATTTTTTAGGGGCTACCAAGTTTGTTCAACTGAATGACCTTGCTTGCAGAAGTTCAAGGCCACTGGGGTCAAATGTGTTAAAATTTTGTAACATGTTGTTTTGAATAACCTCTTGTTGCATACCACAGATAGCATCATCACAATTTGTGTTTATACATGCGACAGCATTACTCGATTTTCTTTGCCGTGTAACCACCCTAACAATATTGTAATTGTCTTATTATAAATGGATTTTCAAAAAAACGTAACGATGTTATAGATACAACAAGTGTTTAAAACAAATGATGGGATATTATGTATAATGTTGTACAAACTAAAAACGGAAATACCTTGTGCTTGGTTTGTTGTGCTGTGCAATACAGGGCATCTGTGCCCCTTAACATTTATGAAATTATCAGTACTATCTCCAATAGGAAACGAACAACAAAATATTGATTATCTTTCACAATGACAGGATATCTTGCCTAAGCCTGATTATCTCACAAACAATTATTGATAAAGTTCACAGTTCATTTACAAAAATATTTATTTTTTTGTTAAATCGTTAGATATGACATGTTACATGTATATGATGAAATCAAGTCAATTCCATGTTAAATATATATAAATGTGTTATCCAAGACTGTGTATCATTCAAAGACGATGCTGGTCGTAGTAATGGTATGGGCATGTACAAATGCCATCTGAAGATTAATATTGTGTAGATAACAACGTGTACATGATCATTACAAAATTTGAGATACTTAATAGTGTCACTCATAAATGACATAATTTAATATACTGGGATAAATATAAACTTTAAGAAGGAAATGGATCATCATAGTTGATATTTGCTCTAGAGAACAATAGTTGTTTGAATGGGAGAAACCCCTACTACAGTGATACCCGGGAAGATATACACAGTATAAAAGTATTCAGTGGTAAAGATTGGCACTTATCTAGAAATGGGTACACATGTACTTTCTCATTCAAACGTGGATTAGATGCGTTGATCCTCTACCAGACAACCAATCTTCACTTTTGACTTCGTAAATGTAATGCCAATAAATCAAAGCTATAGATAGTGTCTAGATTTTGCATGAAGTCAGGAAAATTCAATGTTACAATCATGAAGGATGCAAGGTTAAATTTGTGAAATACTTGTAATATGAATTATGTTAGCTCACCTGGCCCGAAGGGCCAAGTGAGCTTATGCTGTTGTGCGACGTCCGTCGTCCGCTGTCAAGATTTTACTATAAACCAACTTCTTATTGATAACCAGACGATCTAGGTTGATGATATTTGGCCAGTAGCATGCTTGGATGAAGGGGTACCAAGTTTGTGCAAATGAATGACCTTCACTTATAATCAAGGTCATATGGGTCATATGTCAAACAAAGTATTTAAACAATTTCCTATGACTAACCGAAAGGATCAGGGAGATGATATTTGTTCAGTAGCATGCTAGTATTAAGGGCTAACACGTTTGTTCAAATCAACGA